ATATCTTGCGTATGCCCATTTGGCTCTGCTGACTTCTGGAAAAAACGATATGTATATATGAACTATGGATTCCTGCATTCAGACAGCGTTGTTGGTGCGCACGAACTGTGAAAAAATCAATGAGAGCCGCGAGCTCTTGTGCGTCGAAGTACTTGTCGATGCCGTCGATGAAGCACACTTGCCACAAGTACACGACGCCACCGTTGACATGTTTGTCGCCGATAGGAATCCCTACGGTTGCATCTTTCCGGATCGACGCAACCCCCGGCGCTGTGCTCAGGCCCTTTTGTCCAGCCCCATGATGTCTCCTAGCGTCTGCCATTCGGAGCCCTCGCAGTACTCGTAGCGACAAAGGAAAACAAAAAACTGTAGCATTTTCTTTATTCATATTCTGTCGATATGCAAAACTATTCATCGTCGCTCAGATTGCAGCGCGTTGGGAAATCCACTGGTAATTTTGGCCAAGCGCTCAGATACCCACGCTGTTTTCGATACGCTCAGATACACACGCGTTTCCGCTCAGGTAATATCCTTGTCCAGCGTACGCTCATTTTCCTCTGTCGTAGCTACTTTATACCTCCTGCGAATATATACACTTTACTGCTAACGATTAAAACTTTGGCGCACAGGTCGGTCGGCTGTGAGAGGGCTTTCTCTCTGCAAAACAACATCAAGCCCGAGGAGTGGTTGCTCCTCTCGTGCAAGCAGTTGAACGCGCTTATAGTTTGCGCCCGCGACAAGCCAAAACTCAGCATCTTTCACGCCGAAGACGACATGAAGCGCTGGAAGAATGCGAAGAAGTGAAAGTACATGTGCTCGTAATCACGGCTCCGCATTTGAATAAAGTATGTGGTTCTTGTGCGGAAATGCGGAAATCATATATTCATTCCAATCAGTAACTCAAAGCCCTACGTGATGCTGGGCCTTGCATGTATCCTTTCCAATAGAACGCATTAACGTGTTGTTAAAAGCGCGCGGTCACAGGAGTAGTCTTTCCACCGTTTGCGGTTGACTTTAGCAAAAATGCGGGAAAATTTGAACCCTCCTTCCGCATTTTCCATGCGGAAATCGCAACCCTGGATCGCGTGAGGTGAGGGTTCTGCCTTTGTAGTGAGGGTTGTAAGTTGATGCCGAGGAGGGGGGAGGAGGCACCACGCCCCCCCCATATGGAATGACGTCACCCGCTCATGATTATAAGGGGGGGTCCATTTGGACGACGTCACCTGTTCATGATTATTATTACTGAGGGGGCTGTTCTATGTGGAGTGACGTCACCTGCTCATGATTATTAATAAGGGGGGGGTCCGTCACCTGTTCATGATTATTAATGAGAGGGGCTGCTCAACGTGGAGTGATGTCCCGCGTGGGACACACACACATTCTTGGCTTATTATATTGGTAATGAGTACCGTACGGTGATGTTTTACGGCCGCAAAACCGATTTTATTACACATCTCTGCTTAGTCTGACCACGTGTTAACACTGAAGCTGCTAACACGGCAGAAACTTTCAAAATTTCGACGGCCAAACTCGGTCACTCCAAACAAAAAAAATCGCATCAACTCGAAGGGCACCTCTACAAGGGCTATCGCACCAAGAGCAACGACCTCAGCAGAGCAAGCATTCTTATTTCCCTTTTATTGGGAAATAGAGGGGAGCTGCGTTCATTTTGTGTTTCCAGGCAAAACAGGTGCTTTCTGTTTTTTTCAAGCAAAAGCACACATGTCTAGAGGCTGTTGTGCTCATTACAGTTCTCTTTACTTTCCCTCCCCTTGCTCCGCCGAGGTGAACAGGAGCAGCAAGTCGACAGCTTTTATAGTTGGGGGAATTGAGTCTCAACCTATGCAGGTACCACAGGAGAATTGGTGACCTCCCAATCAGCAAAGGTTAGGTTGTTGAGAAGATGAAGGCATAAGGTATGCATATTGAACTGCTTTCGCGCACCATACGTTGCCAACCGTGTTAATCAGACGTCGTGTAAAGTTGAGATGTGGGGAATAAAATGAGAGGTCAGGATCAACAGCAACTCCAAGGTTTCGAACACTTTTGGCCATTGAGATGTCAGAGTATGGGAGGTGCACACTCAAACTGTCTTCTCTCCTGAGGCGGCACTTTTTGTCTCGATGGTCGATCGTTCACTCAGGTCCGCCAGCCACTCGCGTTTGAGCAAGCAGACACACAATTATCGTGTCTTGATTCTAACGGTAGCTTTAGTTGTTGTTGCTGCAAGGAAATCAAATGGCAAGCGCTGTTAGACTTCATGACCGGAAAGTGAAATGTGCATTCGCAATATTCAGTAGAGTCTAGTGCTCTGCTGTACAAGTCACCCTGTTGAGATTTTTTATGAAACAACCATTTATACTGGTGACTGTTGCTTGTGTTGCAATCGAAACGTCGAATTCTATTATTTAATTTATTATATTTCTACGTGACTTTACCAAAAGAACCAAAGAGTAATTCTTGCAGTCACGAAAGCTTCAAATCAAGTTTGAACCACCTCTACGGGGAGGATGTAAGTTTGTTTTCTTTCTCTCTGTGTGCCTCTGTTTGTCAAATTTTACACTTAACTTCTAATTTTAGCAATCGTTGGAGATCGTAATCAACCAGGCTATGCGTTAACTGTGTGTTAGACGACTCTGTGTTGCATTGCATTTAAAAAAAAATTGCTACATTTTGTTTTCTCAAACTGCCTATTTCTCTCTCTAAAATTTACCAGGCTCTCATAGGTCCATTCGCTCTTTCTCTCCCTCGGTCGCTTCGGGGTGGATTTCCACACAAGTCTCTCTAAAATGTAACAGTCTTGTTGGGTCTTTCATTGACATGCTAATTTCTCTGCCCTAGCAGATGCTCCAGCAGACCCACCTCTCTCTCTCTGCCCCCCCTCTCTCTCTCGACACAAGAGGCATTGGGTCTCTGTGTGTCTCTATGTTGTCTCTTTCTGCTTGTGTGTCTGTCTGTGTGTCTCCGTGTCTGTTTTGTCTCTCTCAAATTTAGTTCTACCTGCTTACGGTTGCTTGTGTTGCAATCGAAACGTCGTGTTCTATTATTTAATTTATTTTATTTCTACGTGACTTCACCGAAAGAACCAAAGAGTAATACAAATAATACACACAACCCAACACATGTAACAATACATACAATATACACAAACATAACATTATAGACATATCTGAAAGCTGAAACAGGAAATAGAAAATAAGAATTTTCAAACCTTTATAAATCCACTGCTGGATGATAGACTCCCCAAGCCACCGGTCATGGGGGTAGTTTGACCCTACTTCACCACGCTGGTCAGTGAGTGTTGATGAATATTCTCAGGTTTTTTCGGTAAAGTCACGTAGGTAAAACATTAAAATTAAAAGTAAAATAAAATAAAAATCACGATGTTTTGGAGGCAACACAAGTCTCCGTCATCAGGTGGGACCGTCACAGCCAGATTTGCTGCATCAAGTGAGGCAAGGATTCAAGATGTAATCCCTTAAATGCAAGTTGAGGGGGGAGGAGAGGGGGGGAGCTCATCAGAATGTGGTAGCCAATGAATGGAAACGTATCGGGAGGGAGGGGGGCGGGGCTCAAAGAAGGCACGAAGTACCACGCAGAACGCATCGGGAGGGGGATGGGGGCGGAGCCAAAAGGATGGACGACGCGGCACACGGGAGTCGGCGGCGTGGACGTGGTTGTGCGCAAGCAACCACTGCCGCACACGCCAACGCACCGGACAGAGAGGGGGAGGGGAGGCCAAAAGAGAGCGTGGGGTGCAAGTGTACGTGGACATGCGCATGTACAAGCACCCGCTGATACACATGACAGAAAAGCACACGAGAGTCGGCGGCGTGGACGTGGTTGTGCGCAAGCAACCACTGCCGCACACGCCAACGCACCGGTGCGTTCTGCGTGGTACTTCGTGCCTTCTTTGAGCCCCGCCCCCCTCCCTCCCGATACGTTTCTATTCATTGGCTACCAGATTCTGATGAGCCCCCCCCCCTCTCCTCCCCCCTCAACTTGCATTTAAGGGATTACATCTTGAATCCTTGCCTCACTTGATGCAGCAAATCTGCCTGTGACGGTCCCACCTGATGACGGAGACTTGTGTTGCCTCCGAAACATCGTGATTTTTATTTTATTTTACTTTTAATTTTAATGTTTTACCTACGTGACTTTACCGAAAAAACCTGGGAATATGAATCCTTGCAGTCACGAAAGCTTCAAATCTAGAAGTGTTGATGAAGGTAAGGGCGGGCAGCCAGGATCGATTCAGAGACCGCTCAATTCTCATACAAACTGGCCAGGTCAGCAGGTTCGTGGTGCACTGTGTTAACCACTGCCCCACCACTCCGTGGAAAATAAGCCGTACTAAAAATACCCCATACGCCTCATTGAATTTGCTGCTGTTCGCAATAGCCATGCTTCCTTTCCGCCTGCTGGGTATACGCGCACCGCTGAGCACCTGTGCAAAAAAAATGTGTTCACGTCTTGGTATTCCGCTGGACACATCGTTTGCACCCTTTTATGCTTATGCTTTTTGTCTTTTAGTTTGTTGTCTTTCAGCATACACACATACACGCATCCCCACTGATTGACATGACAATACTGTATGGACTTACACTGGATTCCACGCAAGGACGATATGAACATAAACGCTTTGGATTATTTCCTGCAACCACATTTCGTTGTGATCTCGTTGGCACTGGTTTGTTGACTATGTTCATGTGAAACTGCTGCACACTTTCTAATGTCACATATAACCTGAGTGTTGGAGAGTTGAACGGATTTTGACAGCTTTGTGTTATGGCAACTCTTACTGATTTTTCCACTTTGTTCTTTTTTCTAATCCACGTATCCCTTCAAAATAACACCTCTAGTCTCCAAACACTTTCTGACAGCACCTCAAACAGCTATTAGGGCTAGATACCGGATCTTTGTCCTTGTGTGTGTGTCTGTTATCCCACCAGTCTATATATGCTGTATCGGAATCTTTGTTTTTCTTTGTGTATCCACAGTGCTAGAAATCTATCCCAAGAGCTGCACATGCCAGGGGAAGGAGTTGGACTGCGATGGCTTAAACTTACGCTCTATTCCCAACGCTCCATCCAACATCACCGTCTTGTAAGTTCAACATCCACGTCTCTCTACTCAGCGGAATTGTCAGTAACGTATTCAGATAAGACCAAGCCTGCAAAGTTTACAATATTCAAATTGTTTATTAATAAGAAATTATAATTAATTTTGCCTGTAACAATTTACTCCCTCACGATGAATGGCATGATCACCATTCGGGATCACGATTTTATCCAAGAATCAATTCTTTAAGAATGTGGTGTACATCCGATTAGCATGGTTTGCTACCTATAACGCGAATGAAATTCAACATACATACATAGTGGCTGCAGGGGTCATATGAACAAATGTAATTCGACATGTACACAAATTAAATCTGATAATTTCGAACCTGCACAATTCGACATATATATTGTGAGTGTTAGAATTAATAACTAGTTAATAATTGTGATTGTGACACCCCAATTGTTGGAGCTCGAATCTTTATTCCACTTCGGGTTTGTTTTTTGTTTCTTCAGAATCAGAATCTTTATTCTGGAGAAACCCGATGAGCTATGAGGCTCTTTTTCACAGATGTCCAGTGAAAAATGTGTGCTCATGTTAGACTGCTCCTGAGTTTAAAAAATATATGCGAATGCATTTCCTTGCCCGAAACAATTATCAGCACAAAGCTGGTGGTGGAAATTCCACATTCTCATTGGTGAGGGGAAATATATCCATAGAGCAACCAATGTTGGTGACGTACAAAGTGTTTCTCATTTTAAGGACCTTGTAGGGATGATGGGTTGTGTCCACCCAAACCAGGTTTGACAGTCACGCAGTTTTACCACATTGCCACCTGGCCAAACACAGCACAATTGGGCTTCACCATCACGTGGAATTCAGGAAATTTCAGGCAGAGCTTGTGCGTAGACATTATATGTGCTAGATCTGGCGTTCTATGAAGGTTCACAGTGTTGCTTTGGCTGAAAACTGCTTATAGCTATAGTTATGAGACTTTGAACAAGTGATAAAAAACAATAGTGCCTCGCAATTTGCTAGGAATGTTGTGGTCTCATCAAAGCCAGTGACGGACTGCAGATGAATAATTCATTTTTTTTATATAACGTTTTTTTTTCTGTGATCTGATTAGGTAGCACTGTGGTTTATGATGAATTTAAAACCACAAACATTGTTTTTGGGTTAGAAGTCCTATTGAGAGAAGAGTCCCTGCTATAAAATAGCAGAATTGGCACAATTCACCCTTGGCTTTTGATATAAGTGAGTAGTTTTTTAAATGCTTATATGCGAATGAAAACAAACTATACTTTTTTGACATTTCAAAACAGAACTTTATCCAAATCTAGGTGTACTTCTGCAGTCAGTGGTAATGAGAGGGAGGGGCGAGATAATGTAAAACATGTAAAGTAGACAATATAAATACATCAATTGTTTATCTCTGTATAATGGGGGTTAAGATATAGAATGAGGCAATTATTCTACACAGATATGCGGAAAACACGTTACATACAGAAAATCATAACGCACGAAGGGAAAATACTAATTAGCGTTAAATACTGAACACAATGTAGACAAATTAATTACAACTTTATTCAATAAAAGTGCCCTATGTTTGTGTAACATAAAGTAATCGCTCATCCTTTGTTTCATCGATGGGATTTCTTTATTTTTTTGCAGTTTTACACCAATGTCAAGTTTTTTCATGAATTGTTCAAACCAAGCATTAGTATTTTACTTGCCACCATGTTTGTGGCCTTGTGGGCACTCAGTCACTGACCATGAACAATTGTGGAGGGGCTAATAACAGAAACAGACGAGGAATAACCCAGTAACACAGTTAATGAGCCAACGTGATAATGTGCCCACGGATAACCAATCTGTCCAGATTATGAATCCAATTCTAGAAAAGGGATATTACTTACAAACACCAGCTTTTAGAAACTACCTTAGACTATTGTCGACTAATTAAAAGCCATTCAAATATGCAGAAACTCATGTAGCCATGCTGAATGCCAGTCGTGCTGATTGAGAGTCACAGTGCAAGGGGTGCTCTCAATGCGGAAGTGGCCAACTATCCCAAGTAACCAAGTTTCCAAGGAGTGCTCTCAAAATGAGGAAGTGGCCAAATTTCCCAAGTAGTCATGGAGTGCACTCCATGATGAAGTGGCCAAATATCCCAAGTAGCCACGTAGCCGCAGGGTGTTCTCAATGACGACGAGGCCAAATATCCCAAGTAGTCAAGGGGTGCTCTCAACGAGGAAATGGACAAATATCCCAAGTAGCCAAGGGTGCTCTCAATGAGGATGTTCCTAAATATTACAAGTAGCCAAAGCATGCTCTCCATAATGAAGTGGCCAAATATCTCAAGTAGCCAAGTAACCAAGGGTGCTCTCAAAATGAGGAAGTGGACAAATATCCAAAGTAGCAAAGGGGTCCTCTCAATGACGACGTGGCCAAATATCCCAAGAAGCCAAGTAGCCACGTGGTGCTCTCAATGAAGATTTGACCAAATAGCCCAAGTAGCCAAGGGGTGCTTTCAATGACGACGTTGCCAAATATCCCAAGTAACCAAGTAGCCAAGAAGTGCTCTCCATAATGAAGTGACCAAATATCCGAAAGAGCCAATCAGCCACAGGGTGCTCTCAATGAGGAAGTGGCCAAATATCCCAAGTAGCCAAGGGTGCTCTCCAAATGAGGAAGTGGTTAAATATCCCAAGTAGCCCAGTAGCCAAGGGGTGCACTCAATGAGGAAGTGGCCAAATATCCCAAATAGCAAAGGGGTACTCTCAAAATGACAACGTGGCTACAGTGAGGGAAAAAAGTATTTGATCCCCTGCTGATTGTGTACGTTTGCCCACTGACAAAGAAATGATCAGTCTATAATTTTAATGGTAGGTTTATTTGAACAGTGAGAGATAGAATAACAACAACAAAATCCAGAAAAACACATGCCAAAAATGTTATAAATTGATTTGCATTTTAATGAGGGAAATAGGTATGTGACCCCCTCTCAATCAGAAAGATTTCTGGCTCCCAGGTGTCTTTTATACAGGTAACGAGCTGACATTAGGAGCACACTCTTAAAGGGAGTGCTCCTAATCTCAGCTTGTTACCTGTGTAATAAAGGTCGTGGAAGCAACTTTTGGAATCTGGTCTTTATTTGCCTTTCTTTTACAACACTCCTTCACTGCTGCTGACAGACAGCATGAGAGGAATAGAAAGAGAGAGACACGCGCGGCCACGTGGCAGCCTGGACCCCGCTCCAGCGTGGCCTCACCCTCCGTCTGTTCCAGATCTGACCACGTGTTGTTCGTCTCCACCCCTTTTAATACCTGGGTTACGTGGTACCTTTCCACCAATCCTGGTTAACCTCTATGGAATCTTCTAGAATCCATCGTACGCTCCCAGGACCACGCCCCTGACTCATCCCCCCATTGGTTGTGGCTAAAGCCAGCAGAACCGATCCTCTACTTACAGATGTCACCTTCCCATTACGTCAGGGCCACGCCCCTAGACTTCTCCCCATTGGCTATGGGCCAGGATCGGCAGAGCCAATCATCTTAACGAGGTGTAATCCATCAGCAACCCGGATATGTCCTCACATTACACCTGTATAAAAGACACTTGTTCACAAATGTCCAAGACCAAAGAGCTCTCCAAGGATGTCAGAGACAAGATTGTAGACCTACACAAGGCTGGAATGGGCTACAAGACCATCGCCAAGCAGCTTGGTGAGAAGGTGACAACAGTTGGTGCGATAATTCGCAAATGGAAGAAACACAAGAACTGTCAATCTCCCTCGGCCTGGGGCTCCATGCAAGATCTCACCTCGTAGAGTTGCAATGATTATGAGAACAGTGAGGAATCATCCCAGAACTACACGGGAGGATCTTGTCAATGATCTCAAGGCAGCTGGGACCATAGTCACCAAGAAAACAGTTGGTAACACACTCTCCGTGAAGGACTGCAATCCTGCAGCGCCCGCAAGGTCCCCCTGCTCAAGAAAGCACATATACATGCCCGTCTGAAGTTTGCCAATGAACATCTGAATGATTCAGAGGAGAACTGGGTGAAAGTGTTGTGGTCAGATGAGACCGAAATGGAGCTCTTTGGCATCAACTCAACTCGCCGTGTTTGGAGGAGGAGGAATGCTGCTTATGACCCCAAGAACACCATCCCCACCGTCAAACATGGAGGTGGAAACATTATGCTTTGGGGGTGTTTTTCTGCTAAGGGGACAGGATAACTTCTCCGCATCAAAGGGACGATGGACGGGGCCATGTACCGTCAAATCTTGGGTGAGAACCTCCTTCCCTCAGCCAGGGCATTGAAAATGGGTCGTGAATGGGTATTCCAGCATGACAATGACCCAACACACGGCCAAGGCAACAAAGGAGTGGCTCAAGAAGAAGCACATTAAGGTCCTGGAGTGGCCTAGCCAGTCTCCAAACCTTAATCCCATAGAAAATCCGTGGAGGGAGCTGAAGGTTCGAGTTGCCAAACGTCAGCCTCGAAACCTGAATGACTTGGAGAAGATCTGCAAAGAGGAGTGGGACAAAATCCCTCCTGAGATGTGTGCAAACCTGGTGGCCAACTACAAGAAACGTCTGACCTCTGTGATTGCCAACAAGGGTTTTGCTACCAAGTACTAAGTCATGTTTTGCAGAGGGGGTCATATGCTTATTTCCCTCATTAAAATGCAAATCAAATTATAACATTTTGGACATGCGTTTTTCTGGATTTTGTTGTTGTTATTCTGTCTCTCACTGTTAAAATAAACCTACCATTAAAATTATAGACTGATCATTTCTTTGTCAGTGGGCAAACGTACAAAATCAGCAGGGGATCATACTTTTTTCCCTCACTGTAAATATCGCAAATTCCTATGTAGTCAAGGGGTGGTCTCAATGACGAAGTGGCCACGTATCTCAAGTAGCCAAGGGCTGTTTTTTTATCAGGACATATTGTTAGGCACAAGTAATAGATGGAAGGTAGAGCGAAGCTGGGTTAGTGGTGCAAACGTGAGAAAATTAGCATGTTAATGGTAC